CATATATATACATATATATACATACACTCTAAAAAATGCTGGGTTAAATACAACTGTTCACACAACAAAAATATTCTGTTTTATCAACAACAACAAAAATATATATATAAATTATATTAAAAAAATTATATATAATAGATATTAAATATATTTAATTATAAAATAGTAACAAAAATATAATTTGTTGATTTTGGGCTGAAATATGCCTTTCACATGTTCTTGACAGGTTTCAGGACAGGTTACTATTTTTCTTCATATCTGGTATGATGCCAAACAACTGGCATATTAAAAAAACAACAACAACAACAACAACAACTATTCAGTCAAGAAACTCGATGTACACACTCCATTAGCAGAGTTCATGTCAGAGCGTCGCACCAGCGTCACACCAGACACGAGTCAATGTCACGATGATCCAATCCAACCCGTCCAATCAGCCGAGACACAAACAGCATCCTGCATCTCCCCAAACTCCTGCATCAGCACCACGGCAATCATTGTCTCCATGACAACAGGATGCTCTCCATTCATCAGCGGCAGTCCAGATGAGCAGATCCTTTAGCAAAAACAAACTGCTCATTACGGAGTGTCCGGCTTGATTAAGTGGCCTGCACCTCCTGTCAATACAGCCGTCATCAGTCTGAGATCTTAACAACTGCTTCATGGCCATTAGTCAAACAGACCCTGAAACCAGCGACCTCTGGGCTCCCACATCAGCCCATCTGACAAGAACGGGCAAACCTTTATTCTCCTGATAAGAGAACCATGGTTCATTTAGTGGATCTGACAGCAGCTCTGATAATGCAGGAAAACGCTAACGAAGCGCAGCAGAGAATACTGTGACCTGACGTCCATCTCAACTACATACACCACTAATGAAGCCACATTAACACAGAACGCTGCTATTGCTCAGAGGTTTCTCTTTAATATCTAAGGAGACTTACATTAAATATTAAATAAGAAATTATCAAGTTTATGTCATGTTTCCTCTTAAAGGGACAGTTCACTCAAAAATGAAATGCTGTCATTTAACTCACCCTCATGTCGATCCAAACTTTTATTACTAAAGTTATTCTTACGTTTCATTTACAAAAAGACACGTGAAGCACGAGCTGAAGCTGGACGTTTGTACAATTAGACTAAAAGAGCTTTAACTTGATAAAAACTCAAAACTATCAATCATGTTGATTGTTTAGAAACACGTGAGGAAATTTGAGCATCAAATATGACACAGTAGCTTTATATATTGTTGCATATATAAAAGCGTATCATAAGGTCCATATCATAACCTCCATAGTCCATATCATATAATTCCATATCATAAGGTCAAAGTTATAGTTGTTCCCTGCAGCGATAGAAACCTCTGAGGCCTGAGTGATTCTGTTCTCAGAACCAAAGGCCGTCCATCCATTTTACATGAGTGGACAGAATCCACACAGTCTCACAAACATCACAAATGGATTTCAGAGTTTACAAGCTGGTAAAATGCCAGTGTGCTTTCAAAAAACTTACTCATAAATCTCAACACCAGTAAACAGAGATGTAGCATGAAGTCAATTAGACTGAAATAGGGGTATTTATAGCTGTTTTTTTATTTTTTTGCTACCATTTATAAAAAGCAATGTTCAAAACTATTGTAAGATGCCACACACACACACACATTAGGGATGTAACGATTACCGGTTTGACGATAAATCATGATAAAATTCCCCACGGTTAGTATTACCGCTTCATCTTTTAATTATCATTAAAACCGTATTAGATTACAGCGATTTGAACACCTCACGATAAATAAATACTGTTTAGCATAAAGCACAGTTTTAAGTAACAGTCTCACGTGCGCACAGCAGCAGAGTAGTTAATTTTGAGTGAACACACACACACACACACACCTACACACACACACACTGTATCACTGCATGATGCAAATGTAAATGTGAATGTGAATATAAAAATAGAGATTTGATAGGCAAAATGATTGATGCAAAATGCAATGAAATTATCGAAAAATTCTATTCTAAAGACAAACATTTTTTTTTTTTACATTTTCTAATGAAAAAAAAACTCTAAAAAGGGTGACTACTTTTTCCAATTTTAAAACTATATAATCGAGTCACAGTTGATGAATAAAGAGGGAGGAAATATCAAAAACAATACAAAATGTATGTGAACAAGTGTCTCTAATGATCTCAAATCATAAATACCATGATAACAGAATTATGACTTTGCATCATTCAGAACTGAGAATGACTTTAAATTAGGACTTAATTCCTGAATTTGAATCGAGTTGGCCCAGCAAACAGGATGC